CTTGGTTTAATATTTGCCCCCGAGATGGCACTGGATGTCCCAAGAGCAAAGGGTGAAGCACAGGCTCAAAAAGCCTCAGCTCCTGTCTGTCTCTCTGAGGTGACCCTCGACCTGGAAGTACTTAGCATAAACTTAGCAATGCAGGGCACATGGTACTTTTAAGTATCTCATGACTACTTTGTTTGCTTTGTGTGTTTCCTGCTAAAACATTTATTTTTACCATAAGCAATAATTAAACATTTCATGTATTATCTTATTTGATATTTATAGTACACAAGCGCTACCTCCCACAAGAATTAAATAATACAGTCCTGCACTAGAAGGCTCAAAGCTACAATAAACTAACCTATTTAGGTTCCTCTCCAAGCTGCCATGGCAGTGCCAGGCACAGGATCGACTTCTCACATGCTAAGTGGACACAGAGCCAGGGTCAGGGCTGCTGCTCACCTGCAGTGCTGATTGAGCCCCAGGTCCTCCAAGCTTGTGGTGACGCAAATGCCAACAGGTGGGCCACACATTGAATAGCAAAGCCCTACCCCTTCTTCCCACCGTAAGTTTTCGTATCTCCCATGAAAAGTTTCGTAGAGTATAACTGTGAGATAGAATATGGGAACAGAGCAGTACGGTCAGTCTGCTGCCGCTGGTCACTTAGGGGCATAAGAAAGTGGCCCCCTAGGCTCTGCAGATACAGCCAGCTGGCCAAGAGGACAGTGAAGAACACAACCAAATGTGGGAGGGAATCTCCATAGAGTGGAAACCTTCGTTCTGACATTTACTCAAAACACCATGATGCTCATGCCAAGATTTCGCTAAAAGGTAATTCAGCCCAACCTTGAGAAAACACGTATTTTCAAGAGACTTTTAAACTCTCAGCCTCAAGTAGACTTGTGCAGTCTGGAGGGCCCAGTTAACATCCTGGGTCTCTTGCAAGAAACATTTAGATACCATAAACAGGATGTTAGATAACAGGCCATAAAAAAGTGGCAAACTCCACCATAATCAAAAGGGATTGAGAGAATACAGTTTCTATAGGATCTATTTATTATACTACACAGTCTCTTAAATCTTTTTACCCATCTGTGTGTCTTAAGCATTGAAAGAAATCTCCAACAGGAATTTTTCACATGCTATTTGGCTATAAGATCACCTAAGTCTTCCTGTACCTACAGAGAAACAGACAACTGACTCCTTTTAGTATTCAATTCTATGAATCTGTACAAATTCATACAATTGTGGAACCACAGCCCTGACCAAGACAGTAAACATCTGTCCTGCTACACTCCGCTCCTATCCTACCCAGCCAATCCTTTCTGTACACCTCACCCTTGGGACCCCACATGCTCCTTCCTATTCCCAGTTTTCCTATTTTTGAATTTCCTAAATAGTATCATAGCCTTTGAGTCCACTTCTTCACACAATGCTTTTAAGATGTATCGGTACTGGACTGGAGCAAAGATGGCGGATAGATAACAACTGGCTACAGAGGCTCCCTGAGACAGTCAACTTAGAATTCAACATAATACAGAGTGGGGATTCCCAAACAGAGGGAGATGAATTCTCTCAAGCCAAGAAGAAATTCAGGTGACTTGCAGACCATCCAAGGTCCCACTGCGACTTGCTGAGCCATCCAAGGTCCCGCCGCTTCAACTCACTGGAGGCGCAATTACATTGAGTTTGGGGGTCGGTGAGCCAAACCGAGAGCTGAGTTGGCAGGGTGCTACGTCAATCTGTGGATTGGTGGAATGAGCTAGGCCTGGGTCACATGACCTAGCTGAGACCCAATAGGTTATCCGAAATCAAGTCCCTATAGCAGTGGCGCACATTAACCACACTAACCCAGTGAAGCCTCAGAAGTTTGACTGATCTGGATGGGAGGTGCAAATAAATACGGTGCTGGCCACAGTAGCTTGACTGATCTTGAGGGGAGGGGCCACTATATGCTGTCCCTGTCTGCAACTCACTAGCACACAGTAGTGGGAAGAGTCATCTAGCCAGCGTGCTTCAGAAGAATTGTAACCAATGAAGGAAGAAATGGGACTCCTGGAAGAAGCAAAAAAGATGGGAAGAGGAAGCAACAACCAAAAGTCCCCAGGTCCCAACCCTGAGAACATTGACCCAGGACAGGTAAATACAAAGGAGAATGAGAACAGCAAACATGCAATATCAGACACAGCACCAGTGGACATAAACAGATATATTTGGGACCTCATAGATGAGTTCAAAAGTGAAATATTTTCCCAAATAAAGCAAGATATAAGAAGATTAATAAAAGAGATACTAAGCACCCCCCAAACAAACACAGATGGAAGAATGGAGGAACTCAAACAAAGGAGAGAACCATTTGGTGAAGAATATAAAAAAAATATAGAATACATGAAGCAGATTCAAAGAGATCACCAGGAAATTAAAAACTCTATAGAAAGATAGCAAATCAGCTTGAAAGAAACTAAGGATAGATTATCCAAACTGGAAGACAATTTTGCAATGTGGGAGTATGAAAGGGAAAACTTTTAAAAATAACAAGGAAACAAGCAGTAACAATACAAAGGCTAGAAGATGACAAAAGGATCTATAACTTGAGAATAAAGAATGTGAATGAAGAAGCTGGGGTGCTGGGGATTTAGCTCAGTGGCATAAGCGCCTGCCTTGCAAGCAGGCAGTCGTGAGTTCGATCCCTGTTACCGATACAAACAAAAAAGACAAAAAAAAAAAAAAAAAAAAAAAGCAAAATGAAGAAGCTGGGGTACAAACAACGAACTACAAAGGTTATTCACAGAAATAATTAAGGAAAACTTCCCAAACACAGAAAAAGGAAATGATATTCTGAGGGATACAGAACTCCAGCCACCTATAACCAAAACAGAGCTACACCCAGGCATATAATAATCAAGACCCCAGAAATTCAATGTAAGAACAGAATATTAAAAGCTGTTAGAGACAAGAAACAGATAACCTAGAGAGGAAGGCCCATCAGGATAATGGCAGACTTCTTACCACAAAACATCAAGTCAAGAAAGAGCCTGGAGCAAAATATTCCAAGCCTGGAAAGAAAATAACCTCCATCCCAGATTAATATACCCTGCTAAACTGTCTCTAGAAATTAATGGAGAAACAAGATGCTTCCAAGACAAAGAGGAACTGGGAAAATTCGCAACCACCAATCCAACTCTACAGAGAATACTGCAGGGCATTCTAGAGAGAGAGAAAAGTACTAGGATCCCAGGAGCAGTGGCAGAGACCTCAATGAAAGGAGCAGAAAACAGAATGAAGAAGATAAGCAGATAACTGATGGCAAAAAAAGAGCATAACAGAAATGAGGCAGAGAAGATTTTATTCAAAACTGATATGATTGATAGTATCAAGTCTCAGAGTATAGGCAAGTACACTGAAGATGACAAGACTACAATACACATTCTGGTTTGATAATTGCCAGTTTTTGAAGTTCTATACTATATACAAAGCTGTGTTTTTATCAATACAGTTATCTACTGATACAGTCAATTATACTATGTCTGATGATATAGCCAATTCTATTGGAGATAAAAGAGACAACACAGGAACCATGGTAGAACTCTTTGTACAATGGTCTTATATGTTTATTTCATTTCTTGTGTTTATAGGAATATGTTTTGTTTTGCCTTGCTTTGTTTTGTTTCTCCCTCTAATATAGAAAGGATAAAAATACATGTTAAGACTCATGCATGTGGGGCTGGGGATTTAACTCAGTGGCATAAGCACATGCCTTGCAAGCAGACAGTCATGAGTTCGATCCCCGGTACCGATAAAAAGGAAAAAGACAAAAAGAAAAAAAAGACTCATGCATGTATAGAATCTATAAACAGTTTATGAGAACTGATCATATGACACATGATGAAATGAGCAGATACTCTGAAGAAAAAGAGACACTAAAATACCCCGTGCTTATCTTGGAGTGTCATAATGTGAAACCCAGCAATACTATTATTCTTTGTTCAAAGTGATATTAGCCTGCCTGTGTTTATTCAATCTCAACATAATTGAAGATATGGATAACAGCATGTATGTTTAAGTGTATAGGACTGAAAACCATATTTCTAAGTTTTTGTTGGATAGTTGAACAGAACTGGTTGCAATCTCACTGGTTGAATCCCTACTTTATATGCTCCACTTTAGTATCTTGAATAACTATTTGTAAGAAGACAATTTGTAATCATCAACCAGTTATTTCTTACCGTTTATTTTTTTCTTTGAAATTATGTGTTATTTCTACCCGTTTTCTGTTTCGTTTAGTCTTTCTTTAAATTAAATCTAAAAAAAAAAAAGACACTACAGTACCCAGTGCTGATCATGGAGTGCCATGATGTGAAATCCAGCAATTACTATTATTCTTTTTTCAGAATGATTTTAACCTGCTTTAGTTTGTTTAATCTAAACATAAATGAAAATGTGGATAACTGCATGTATGTTTAAGTGTATAGGATTGGCAACCATGTTACTAAGTTTTTGTTGGACAGTTGAACAGAACTTTTTGTGGTCTCGCTGTTTGAATTCCCACTTTACATGTTCCATTTTTGTATTTTGAACAACTATTTGTAAAATGACAATATGTAAACATCAAGTAGTGATTTCTTACTGTTTATTTTTTTCTCTGAACGTACGTATTATTTTTACCTATTTTCTGTTTTGTTTAGTCTTTCTTTAAATAAAATTTAAAAAAAGATTTTATCGGTGCTGAGGCCTCGGGGATATTATTATTATTATTATTGTTGTTGTTGTTGTTGTTGAACAGAATTTATTGCTGAGCCTTCCTGCAGCTGGAGACAGAAATGAAACTACATACTTGTATGCTTGTTTGTTTGTATTTTGTGAATATCTTATCGGAACATTAAAGGAATGAAAAACTACTGAACAATGTAAAGTTAAGCATATTAAAACAGAATTATTAAGTGTAAAGATTCTGCTTATACCATGCTGAATTGAGATAATTTTTGCGGACCTGGCTTTAGTGAAAGTAAACTTACCCATAACATTTTCCAGTTCCCACTTTCCACAGGGAGCAGTTGATGCAGGAGATTGATCACATGTGTGGGGCTAAAGCAAGGCCAGCTGGGAAAAACAGCACAAAACAAGCTATGTAAACAAGCAGTTCCAGCTCCCAGCCAGGCAACCAAGTTGCTAGGTAGGCAGTGGAGTTGAAATTGACATCACCCTTCAGAGTGTCTAAATAAATGTGCTACAGTGGTTGAGCAGCTCCTTTCCTCTGTTAGGAGAGTAAGGGCCATATTGGACCCCAGCTTTTGTCTCTTCCTTATTTTCTCATCCGCTGGTGGTCCTTTACCCCAGGAACCTCAAGGGCCTTATGGGCTGCAGATTCTGCTTATCTCATTTTCTTTTGTGCAATACCGGTGTGAGTGCTGCTTCTAAACCAACGATTGAGGCTGAGACAGAGCTCGGTGATAGGTTCTAAGTTTGAGTACCAGTTCCACAAAACATAAAAAATGACCAAGCTTACTTCTAAATTTCTAACAGATTACATTAAGAAAACTACATAAAGCAGTTTCTGAAAAATCCAAACACTGCTTACTACCCTTAGAGGACATTCTATGGGACTTAATGCCAAAGCCAAATCAGTGACTGGTTCCTTTTTGTAAATGAAATGTTGTCACAGAAAATAATTTTTCTATTGATGGCCCTGAATCAAGGCCGGCAGCTTCCTGACACTGTTGGTTTCAAGCAGGAGCCTAAGAGATGTCTTTCTATGGTCTGTTGGCCATTTCAGAACTTGGGCAGAGAAATGGTCAATTCATTAGAAAGACACAGCTTGAAGACAATTCATATAAAAAAAAAAAAAACCTTGAGCTGGCAGGCTGTGGCAGTGGCCCAGGACAGGAGCCACTGGCATTTCCAGGGACCCGCGCCATGCTGGGACCTGGAGTGTGGGAAACCAAGCAACTCCTCCCCCTCTGCCTTCAAAATGCATGAAAGCATGGACAGCTGTTTTGAAGAGAACGAGAGACTCTACCACAGCCATTCATGACTTCCCTATTGTCTGGTCTTGAAGACCTAAAATGCCTTCCTCATTCTGTTTGGATCAGTTTTATGCTATGTTGTTTTGTATGAATTCTCTGTATGCGAAGACATGGACAACTATTTGGAAAAAAACAAGAGACAATATGATAGACAGTGAAGATCTCAGGTTGTCTGGCTTTGAAATTTATATCTCTTACAATTGCTTTTTTATATCCTATTTTGTTCTGTTTTGTTGAGTTTAATTTTACCCCCTTTAAAATAAAAAAAATTTTATTGAAAATTCAAACTCTGAAAATGCTTTTCTAACTTTTTATACGTCCACTTCAAATGTATAATTAAGGTTGTACAATCTCCAAAATTTTATTTGATATGTACTTTTATTGTAATAATTGATACTCTCGTGTAGTTATTTGTAGATTCTAATTTCTCAATATTTCTTTTTCATTTACTTCCAGATCCTTGAAGCATTTTTATATTTCTTTCTAAGGCTTTACACTTATCAAACATTAAGCTGAGGTAATCTTTTTCTCAAGTTTTATATGCAAAGAGATAGGACTTCTGTTAAGCATACATATATAGCTTCATTAATCTTTTCCACTTGGTATAAAACAATATCCAACAGAAAGTATCTGTCTTAGTTACTTGTTACTCGTTGCTGAGAAAAATACCTGAAGCCCAAGTTAGGAAAGGAAAGGTTTATTTCTTACAGTTTTTGGAGGTTTCAGTCGACAGTCAGTTGGCTCCAAGGCAGGCGGGCATGGCTGGGCTGCAGTTCATGGCAGCTGCAAACAGCAAACAGGAACCAGCAAAGAGCAAGACACACCTTCTTCCCGCCATTATATCACATCCTGGCTCCACCCCTATGTGGGTGGAGCATTGACACCATCAATCCAAGCACTATACAATGAACCATCACTAATAAACAATGCAAACTCATGAGGCCTGGGAGCCACAAGCATAACCATGACAGTATCTTAGTTACTTTTCTCATTGCTGAGACAAAATTTGCAACACCCAAATTTAAGGGAGGAAAAATATTTGGCCCACAATGTGTAGGGGCTTCAGTCTTTAGTCAGCTGGCTCCAAGGCAGGGTGGCACAGCAGACAGGCACTGCAGAAGTGAAACTGCTCATGGTGGGCAGAGGGTAGCAATTTCAATAGGATTTCAGATTTATTGTGCTTCCTAGAAGGATTATTAATTTGTTCTGAATATTATTAGACAACTCAGTCATGAATCCACCATAGAACTATGATTGACTTCAACTAAATTTAGAAATATTGCAGCATCTAGAGTTGTAATAGTTTCTTGTCCCTCTCTAAGAAATACATTAGCTTTATACTACACATAAAACATCTGAAATCACTCGCAAAACATTGCAGGACTGTGTGAATCTAATTTTATTGACTTCTGTAAGACATCATCCACTAAACTATCAGTTTGGTGGTATTTTTACAAATACTCCCATTTTAGAAAAACCTCACGATGCAGCATGCAATGGGAAAATACAGCCTAAATTCTCCCAGTGGCTGAACCTTTCGTACAGCCGCAAGTATTGGCTCCCATGGAACACTGCTAGAAGTATGCCTGGGAAACAGATGCATGACAGCGATCCTGTCTCAATGAACACACTTGATTTTCACACATTTTTATTTTTTAATATTTTTAATCTTAAAGAGAATAAAACCAAGAAAATAAAATAGAATAAAGCAAATTAACACAAATCTGTAAGTGATACAGAATTTCAAAACAAGATAATAGGAGGTCAACAATGGCTACCATAATAGCTGCCCATACCATCAGATACAGGAAAATTAAAGCAGAACAGAATGGAACCAGTAACAACAAAAGAACGAATGCAATACAAGACTTCAAAACAAGGTAATAGTAAATCCAAAATAACTACCACAACTTTTGCACATTTTTAAGTGTTTTTGAAATCATTATTTCATGATTGTTCATGATGTGGATCTTACCTTCATTTGGTTCCATGTTTTATTAAAAGTCATCTGTCATTTACTGCAGATTGGCAGCCACAATGGAGCATTAAAATGTATAACAAGCTGAGTTTGGTGGGACATGCCTGTTATTCCAGTACTCTGGGAAGCTGAGGCAGGAAGATAGCAAGTTCAAGTCCAGTGACTCCACAACTTAGTGAAACCCTGGCTCAACATTTTTCAAATGTGGGGATGCTCTGGGGATGTAGCTCAGTGAGAAGGCACTGAGTGCAGCCCTCAGTACTGCAAAATAACACAAATTACAGCAACAAAAACCAAAAAATTAGTATTTTCTTGTTCACAATCCTACTTACTAGTTTTTGAAAATGTAATATTCCCTTTTGCTAGTTTTTCTTCACAACTCAAAAGTCATTCTTTAGTTAACTCTGAAATTGATTATTGCTATATTCTAATAAGATCCATATTAGAGATTGTCATTTTTGGGTTGAAATATGTTTTCTAATTGAACTTTGCCCTGTGCAGTTTGAGCTATCTCTCTGTGTATTTTTTCCTCCTCTCCTGAACACTTTTTAGATGGCACATTTATGAAAAAATACATGGCTAGTATAAATTTGCCATATACTTACTTTCAATCAGCACAAGATTTAATCCAAGTAAATACACAGTGTCTTAGTTACTTTATGCTCGTCGCTGAAACAAAATACCTGATGCCCAAGTTGGGAAAGGAAAGGTTTATTTCTTACAGTTTTTGGAGGTTTCAGTCCACACTCAGTTGGCTCCCAGGCAGGCAGGCATGTCTGGGCTGCCTTTCTTGGCAGAAAACAGCAAGCTGGAACCAGCAAAGAGCAAGACACACCTTCTTCCTGCCATTACATCACATCCTGGCTCCACCCCTATGTGGGTGGAGCACTGACACCATCCATCCAAGCACTGCACAATGAACCATCACAAATGAACAATGCAAACTCATGAGGCCTGGGGGACACAGACATAAACCATGACACACAGTAAATTTGAATTAACTTATAGGACTGAGCTTAATTTATAAAATTTCACAAAATAGATATACCTAAAAGTTGGTGCCAAAAACACAGAAACCCCTTGTTAATGTGATGGGATAAGAAGTCCTAGCTCACTGGTGGGACCCTGGGGACATCACTGGGCTTCACCCACCGAGCTCTCAGCTGAAGGTGCTGCTGGGGGCGGTGGGCGACTGGCTGGGCTTCCTTGCCTGCAGGTGGCCACACCTGAGATCCAGCCCGGAGTCACTGAGTGCTAACTCAGCCTGTATGACTTACTGAGATCTCAACTCACGATTTGACTTTTTTATACACTTCTCTATATTTTGGTTCATAACTGCACACAAGTATTACAAATAAAATCTGGGACTGCCAGGAATGCCCAACAGATGTCCATATTCATCAGAGGTTGGACCAGAGGCCTTTTTTCTAGGACTAAGATTTCTCCCCATTGAGTCACTTTGCTAGTATTTAAAATGACCAATTCTATGCTGTAGTGTTAACTCAAGCTGAATGAAATTACAGCATTAGAATAGTTCCAAAAACCACTGAAAATTCTTTTTTCTTTTTTTGGCATGGAGAGTCCAATTCAGGACCTCAAACTTGCCAAGCAGGCACTGTGCCACTGAGCTACATCCTTGGTCCTTGGAAGTTCATTTTCCATGAAACTTGCTATTTAAAGGACATATCAAAGACCAAAAGAAAAAATGCCAAAATAGAATTATTTTTGCCTTTTTGTGTTGTTTTGTTTTGCTTTGTCTGAGACAAGGTGTCCCTATGTAGCCGAGGCTGGCCTTGAACTCACAGTGATCCTCCTGTCTCAGTCTCTTAGGGTGCTGGAATTACAGGTGTGTACCAACATACTAGCACAAAATAGAATTGCTTTTAGAGTGTGAGTGCACCTTTTCCGAGACTGGCCGGCTCAAGGCCCTGGCACACACCTTGCATGACTACAGCGACCTGGGTTCCCTTCTGCAGGCCTTCATCCAGTCCGAATTTTCCATGCTGCCCAACTCCTCTTCCTGTCTCTTTTTCTCGGTCTGTATTTTAAACGCGTGCTTTCTGACGTGTGTTTTAATTGAAAGCTCTTCTTTCTGATATCCAGCAATCTTTCCTTCTATCCGAGGACCCTGACTGTACTTCTGCAGGGATTTCTTCGGCTTCACGCTTCCTCTGCATCCCGCCGTGAGCCCACCGCCCGCGTTTTTCCGGAGTTGTTTTTCTAAGTGCAGCCCAAGGCCGCATCCTCCTCAGTGCAAGACTTCACATTTCAAAAGCAATGTTCCCTGCTTCACTTTCAGTCTTCAGCTTTGGCGTCAGTGTGTCTGTCCTGTATGATTCACTCTGAATTCTTTCTTCAATCGCATGGGCTCCAAGCACTGTGTGGTCCGTGGCCTTCGTTGGGTGTCCACAGTGACCCTTGCCCAGGCACTGTCCAGCCCGGCCGACCCTGGGTCCACTCGATGTCCAGTACCAGAACACCAACAAATGAAACCCCAACTTCGTTCCCTCTTTGCACACTCACGTTCGTAACCACAAGATTTGGAAGAGGCGAAAGGCAGGACTCCAAGAACCCCTGCCAGCTGGATAACCACAGTGGGAAGCACACACAGAGAAATGTTACCTTGCCATGAACGCAGAAAGACTCTGAAGACACGCTACTAACTGTAGTGGGCTTCACAAAGGACAAACACAACATCGCCCTTCCCTTAAGGTAGGTTGTTCTGCCTGCCTTAGCACAACCCTGAGCCGTGGCCAGCTGCCTGTGCATGGCTGGCTGTCCTTGTTTCCGGGGGCAGTCTCAAGTCTGCAAGATGCAAAGTTCTGGACACTAAGAATGCATACTTTACGCTACAAGCTGTCCACTTGAAAACTGACAGATTTTCCCCTATGTGCAGGCTCCCTTTGGCGCTGGACAGCGCTTACCTGGGTGGTTCTCCTAAACTCCGAAGTGAAAAGTCAGACACTGACAGTGCTAGGCACTGAAAGAGGGACTTTCAGGCCACCCAGGGACACAGAGAGGAGAATCTCTTGAGGCCAGTCCAGGCAACATACAGGGCCTCTGTCTGTATCAAAGAAAAATAATAGTAGGACAGGATACAAACAGTGACTAGCAGCTCTCCTACAAGAATAGTTGTGTGTTCCCCCAGGCACAAAGAAGGCACTGCCTCCACCCCTATGTCTTATTCTGGAATCAGGGCTGCCAAGGAAGACAGGCTCTCCTTAAGCAGACCCTCACCAAAAAGCCTCAAGGAGGATTTAAAGAACAGGCATAAAAGGTGAATAGTTTTCAGATGATTTACCCCAGAGAGACTTCCCTTCTTAGGGCAAGAAGATAGCTCGGCTTGGGATTAGGGTGGACCCCAGACTTCAGCGTTTCCACCACTCCCTGAGGTCCGTATTAAATAAAACAACGCTAGGGAGTCAAGCTGACTGAATGCAGAGTCTGGAAAGCAAAATCAAGAGCTTTAATCCACTCCAGTCCCCTGATCCAGGAAGGCGGACAGGGAAGGATGACTTAAAGTGAAATCAGCTCTCGAACAGCAGAGGCTCAAAGTGCACACGAAAATGAAGGCGGAATTGAGCTGGGGGAGGCTGCACGCAGCCCACTTCCTGCTCTGCAGAGGAGGTGGAGGCGCCTCCTGACCCACTGCGCACACCCCTGTGACCCAGGGTGAAAATGCTAAGCTTGTGGTTTTGAAAGGAGGGGAGCCCTGCAGTGGGGCAGCTCTGCCAAAGCCTGGCGCTGAGGTGGGATTGTCTGCCCGCCCCCGGGACTGAGGTGCCAGGAATTGCCCCGAGGGCCTATTTCTTTTTCTTTCTTTCTTTTTTTCTTTTTTTTTAAGGAAAAAAAAGTGAAAATAATAGTGCAAAGCTTCAAAATAAGCCTGTAGGAAGTAACAATGATTAGTACACTGCATATTGTTATCTTCAAAGTAGTTGTTCAGATTACAAGATATAGGCATGAGAAGCTGATCAAACAATGTAGGCACAAACCTTTCAGTGAATTAATAGCAGTTAGCAGTATAACGATCTTAACTATTTTGTGTAGCTATATATTTTTTCCTTTTTCTATCCTTTTTCCT